CTCCCGTTTCCGCCTCCGGAACTCACAGCAGGCTTCCCAGAGGCAACAGGGACGGTACTGAACGGCAGGTGAGGGGACCATAGCCGTTGTGTGGTACACATTAGCTTTGCCTTCGCCCTAGAAGGACGCTTTGTGAAGGGAAGACCTGTCCCTGTGCCAGGAACGCCCTCAGGCACACAGCTGAGGTCATAAATGATAAAGGTCCTGGATAAATAGATAAAATGGGTGGCGAGCTTCTTTAGAGGGCTCCAGGGAATGGAGAGGCTCTGGGGTCCCGAGCTCCCTCTGTGTCTTGTTCTCCCTGGATGGGAGTTCCCCTTGAGTTTCCTTCCACTCCAACGTGGCATGGAAGTACTCAGTCACGCAGTCCCTTAGAGGCCCCAGGGTTACTCAGAGCCACCCCCAACCCCCACCCCCATCCCGTGAGCCCCCTGTCTCACAAATCAGCCCAGCTTCCCAGGCACCATAGTTCTTGGCTGCACTCAGACACTCAGATGGCGCTAGTCCATCAGTAGAAATAATAACTATTAAGAAATAACCCGCTCACCCTCAGCCACTCAGCAGTAGAGAGGTGGGTCCCTAAAAGGCAGGAAGAAGCCAGAGTCTAGGCCACAGGGCATAGAGAGCAGCAACCCTGGCTATCTCTTTGGAGGACTTTTAGATTGGTCACAGGAGCCCCGCCCTGGGCGTGAACTGATGGCAAGTCCAAGGAATCGGGTAAGAGGAACATGGAACCACTTGGCACAGAAGCACCTAAATCACTCTGGTAAACAAAGGAAAACCTCTCAGGGCCCCGGGCAGAGCTTGGCCAATATCAGAGTCCACAACACCAGAAATCACTGCGTTTGCAACAAAGAGGTCGTGAAAATGATTTTGAAAACAACTCCCTCCCCTATCCCCGGAAAAATCTCCCCAGGACTCAAAGAGTGCTGGGAACAGGGAAATGCCATCTTTTGGAAGCACATCATGTTCGTGTAATAGATTTTTTTTTAAAGGATCTACTTTTCTAGCTTCATACTGGACCAATGAATCGGTGTCAGCCAGCGTTGGTCATTGCCTAGCACAAGCCCGTCAGTGAATCAGCACTGGTATCTAGCAGCCTCTTTCTCTGTCAATCAATCGCCATCAGTGTCATTGTCAACCAGTCAATATAATAGTCGCTGTCAGTAAATTAACATTAATTGAGTCAATGTGTTGGTGCCAGCCAGTGTCCATGTCTATCCGTCTTTGTCATCAGTTAGTAGGGTCGCTTGAGGTGGTGACTCAGTCAGTCAAGCAGCACCAGACGTGGCAGCCAATCAGCCAGACTTAAGCATGGAGTTCAGCTGGTTTCTGAGTGCTTGCCCGTGGCCTTCCTGTTTGATTTCTCAGCACCTCTTCCATTTCTGAGAACTGGGGTAGGTGTCATTCCTCCACAAGGACAGCGAAGTGTCTCCAGGAACTCACAGCAAAATAGTTACCCAGTGGGGTCTTGTCCATTTGCCCCTCATCTCTGTCACACTTAGCTGTTGTGACAGTGAGGATTCCGTGAGCTCTGAAAAATCAGATGAGACTACAAGCCGAAGGGAACGAGGTCAACCTTTGGCCTCTTCCACAACCACAGGGTTTTTTTTTTTTTTTTTTTTTTTTTTTTTTTAATGGTGTTCTACCAAGGCGCTCATCTGGCTCTGATACCAGAACCGGCTCAATGACCAGGTAACACTCCAAGCTGTTGCAGGAAACCTTTCTGCCTTCCCCCACCTGCATTGTCTGTGGATGAGCAGATATGAGGGTCACCCAATAGGACAAGAGGTAGCTGGGGTCATCCTGAGCCTAGGCCTGATTCCCAGGTTTGGACACAGTTATGGACATATGATTTATCTGTCTGGACAATGGTCCTCTATCTTTGAGGGATCTTCCCCCTCCTTCCAATGTCTACTCATCCTGTAGGTTTGTGAAGAAACTAACAATCACAGTTTATACCCCTGTGCTGGCCTGAGGCTGGAGCCATTACCACCCTATCCCACACTGATTGATTGGTTGGGGGGGGGGTGGGTATGGGATCCACATCAGGTCAATCAGAACTCTTCCCCGGGATTTTTGTCAAGGATGTGTCATTCTTTAGCCGAAAGGACATGTGTTTGAACCTGCCTGCAGAATGGCTCTCATTGTGTAGAGAAAAACCTAGAAGGAGATAATTAGGAAAAAAAAATGAAAGAAGCTATCCAAAAGGAGACAGACAAGTGACACCTGGCGGAGCTTGCAGCCTCGGAGGCTGCCTCCACCTCTGGCCTCCTGCCATTTGATTTTGTAAGCCACGGTGGCTGCCAAAGAACCTTGCCTAATACAGTGTTATTGCCATGGGTGGTTATCTCTTGCCCATTCGGAAGTGGATGATTCCCTGTGTGTTTGCCCTGACTTCTACCCTCTAGTATCTCGAATCAGGAGTGGGCTGTGACCACCTGGGACCGCCCCAGATCCTCAATCAGAGTTGTGGAATAGCACATGCTCTGGATGTCCATGGAGGTTTTTGTTTGTTTTGCTATTATAAGAGGTGGGGGGGGGGGTGTTTGAGTGAGTGAATGTTCTCCTCATGCCTCCTTCTTTCTGGAATCTCATAGAGGGGGCCCCGGGTACACAGGCACTGTCACACAGGACTCTGTATTTAGAAGAATCATGTGCTTGGTTTAACAGGATGCTGTCACCGTCTTGAAATTCACAGTCCTTTAGAACCAGACACCCTATGTTTTTATTGTGCACAAGGCCCCATGAATTACGTACCTGATCCTGGCCCCATGTAGCCCCTTGTGGTGGGATTTGTGACACCAACGAGTGTCTCCAACTCCCTAAAGCCACTGTCCTCTTCTTGTGTCTTCCTTGTTTCTTAATGCCCCTTCCCCTGCTCAAGATCTCCTTCCCTTCCACCTCCATAGGGGACTTTTCTCCCAGAGGCCACCAGCCTTTGGGCCTCATCCAAGCTACCCATGCCAGCCAACATCCGGCTCACTGCCCTCCATCCAAGTTTACATCAAACCAAAGCTGGGATTCACTCTGCTTATAACAGTGCCCAGACAAGCAGCTTCCTTGCATCTACTGCCCAACACTGAAACTCTGTGATTTGGCCTCAGCCCTCCTTCCGGATGGAGCGAACCTCTGGGAAAAGTGCAGCCTGGGCCTCAGCAGGAAGAGCTAAGCTCTGGAGACCCAGCCATGGGTCTGGAATGGGGTTGGGGTCTACCGAACTGGGGAGCAGCCTGTGGTTGTGGGGTCTGGTGAGGATGCGTGCGTGCTTGCTTGGGTCTAGTGACTTCTGGGGAAAAGGTGGACTCTGCCCCTCACATCTGCTCTCACATCTGCCCACTAGATGGCAACCACCAAAATAAGATTATCCAAGACCTCTCTCTAACCCATCCTGTTCAACTTGGGGGAAAACAAAACAAAACAAAAAAAACAGTGGAGGAGGGAAGAGCCAACAAGAGAAACAGGTATACAGTTTGGCAATAGAGTCCAGGTGTGGCAAAAGTAGTTTATTTTTGGAACATGGTAACAGCTATGCAACTAGGGATGGTCCATTTATGCCTATGGTCTATGCAATGTCGAAAAGACATACTAAGACTTTGGAATTTTCCAAAGGTGATCATACCTGAGATGTGCTGCCCACCCCCCCCCCTTTTTTTTTCCTCCCCCTGTACCTGTCTTAATCACGGTGAACCAAGTAAAATAGCTTTACAGCTTACTAAAACTCAAACTTGTCCTCAGAGGAAGCAGTTTAAACATTTCTAACTATAAATTTGCAATGCATTGATTAGCAGCAGGGGACAGGTCCAGGGAATCAAACAGTGGCTCTAACAGGTAAGCCTGTCTTGTGGAAAGGAAACACACACACACACACACACACACACACACACACACACACACACTCAAAGGGGGGGGGACCCAGATGATCTAGAAGAGCAGACCCTCTTCAGGACAGGGGCCTCAAAGATTAAAAAGCAACACATTGGAATCAGTGTCTGCTTTGATGAGGAACAAATCCCCAAGAAGCCATGCTAAGAATGTGGTTTTAAAAGAGGGAGGACTTACAGGAAGCCATATGGCTGCCCCGGTGCCAAGGCGTCAAGTTTACCATGAATGCCACAGCAGCATTCTCCCCGAGGCATACCTTCGCTGTGCCAACAATGAACACAGTCTCTTAAGGAAGTGGCGTTTCCCCAGTGCACCTACCACACTAAAGGGACTGGGAGGCTTTGGCAAACAGATTCTATTGGCAGGCTCTTCATAATCTCCCTGGCCAGCTGAAATACCAAGTCCCTCGTGAACAAATGAGGTAGAAACCTGGCAGGCTACCATTGAACCAAAACACGTGGGTGATGGCTAGAGATGCCCGCATCCCTAAGAATGCTGGTCCATGCTCCTGCATCACTCTCCTTTCTTGTCCCTTGCAAATGAGTCTCTTCTCCCCCAAACCCCAGAGCCAATGTTGTTAGTACTCAGGCATCTGAACTGGCCCGCCCTTGGGGTCCTGACAGGATGCGCCCTCAGCTGCAGCCACTAAGAGCACCAGCTGTGCACGTTCACTGTGTTCCCTTTTAAAAGGGCCCTGCCCACCTCCCAACCTCCTCCCCCCTCTCTTTCTCTTCCTCACTCCACCCCCTTCCATCTCTCCTGCTGTTTCTGTTCCCTGAGGCCAGTCTCTCCCCTCCTTTCCCATTTTTAGGATTCCTTTCCCTAATTAAAAACAAAACAAAACAAAAACCAAACAAAAAACAAACTCTGCTTGAATGGCATCATTCTCTCATGTAGCTTATCTTAAATTACAACAAAAGTTGTCTAGAAGACACAGCTAAGGAAAAGTTACAATGACTTCCACCAGAATCCAACTCTATGCCTACCCACCTGGAGGTTGTTTTGTTGTGTTTTTTGAGGGGGTGGTGGGTAGATTGGAAGTAGAAGGGTAGAAGTTTGTTTTTTAGATTCACCATGCTGGAAGGCTCATTTAAAAAAAAAAAAAAAAAAAAAAAAAAACAAGCTGTCCATGGTGGCGCTCATCTTTGATCCCAGCACTTAGGAGGCAGAAGTAGATGGATCTCTGTAAGCTCAAGGCCGGCCTGGTCTACAGAGTGAGTTCCAGGACAGACAGGGATACAGGGCTACACAGAGAGACTCTGTCTTGATAAAACAAAACAAAACAGCTGCTCCTTGAGCAAGGCTCTCTCTCTCTCTCTCTCTCTCTCTCTCTCTCTCTCTCTGTCTGTGTGTGTGTGTGTGTGTGTGAGAGAGAGAGAGATGTTTGAGTGGTATTGCATATATGTACAAAAGGAGTGAGCGGCTGGTGAGAATCAATTATCCCTGGGGCACCCCCAACACCTCACAGCCCCACAGTAAATATTTACAGAAGGCTGGGTTCCCACATAAGTGAGATTAGCAATGGTGACATGAAAACTCCCGGCATCAACTCCTTCCTTCCCACGTCACCTGAACGCATTTTAAAACATTACTTGATGCCACAAAAGACAAGCATGACCCACATTCTCATGGCTTCCTAGAGTCTTAAACGCGCGTGCATGTACGCACACACACACACACACACACACACACACACACAGCTTGATTACTTGGGTGTTCTCTTTGATTTGTGGTGATGGTCCACTAAAACATTTTGTGGCTGGTACTTAGAACCAGACCCGGATGTGTTGTGTACACATCAGAAATCATCCTGTCCGTTCAGCAGGCCCTGGAAGCATCATCAAGATTGTCATGGATCCACCAAGGAGGATGCGAAGCAAGTTTCCACTGACAGGGTCCGAAAACCGATGCTCACATCCAGGCTGGCAATCGTCTTGTATCCCACCTATCCAAGCTGCAAGTAAAGCCTCGTCCACTCCTTCCAGTGTTGTGAACCTGTCCCTTAGGGGTCCCCCAACCGTGCACCAGTTCTTTGGGATCTCTGCTGGAGGCTGAGCAGAGCCAGGTCGGAGACTGCAGGATTGGAGGCCATCCCAGAGTCCACTGGGTCAGCTGGGAAGACGCTGTGGTAAGTAGTGCATGCGCCCCCACCACTGGCTGCTGGCTGTGCTGACCCCCAAGGTCCTCTAAAGGTGTCCTCGCCCCAAGCAGACTCGGCCCAGGCCGAGTGACTCTGATAAAGGTAAGAGCTGGGCAGGAGTGTCCACAGATCTTCCCGAGGTCTGCGCTGGAGAGCCAAGTCACTGTGCGTATCCCTGGAACCGTGTCCATCTGGCGGCTGGACCTGCGGACAGGATGGGAACCCAAGGTCATCCGAGGAGAGCGGGCTGTTCGCAGTCCCGAGGCATCGCAGACTTGGTGACCTTGTGGTGGCAGTGCTACCCTCGCAAGGGGATGACAAGGCCCAGGATGTGGGGCCATCCGTGGACATCCAGTCGGGCTCGTGCGTCCGGGACGCGATGCCCCTGGCCCTGGTTTCATTGAAAGTCAGCCGCGAGAAGCTCCGGCTCAGGGAGGCCAGGGGCTCTGGCTGCTGAGCTGGTGGAAAGCTGTGCGTGCTGGGCTCCCGGGGAAGAGGCCAGACTGCTGCCTGGCTGCTCTGGACACTCAGTGGACGCTGCTCCTCCGCGCCACCGCCCGGCCAGGCCCGCGTCTTAGCGCGGAGTTCGTCGGCCACTGGCAGCTGCGTGTGGTGTGACCTCTCCGGGTGGTAGAATCTGCACTTGACCCCATAGGTGCATTTCTTGCCTAGAAGCGGGTCAGGGCAAAGAGGGCACGGGATGAGACCTAGGGTGAGCAAAGGCTTGTGATATCTGACCCCATGCCCTTCCCCTGGCTGCTGACTCTCCTGCCTTCCGGCCACAGATCTGGAAGGTGAGCCAGGTGGCAAGCATTCTGGGATGGATGGGTGCTCAGAGCTCGGTGCAAGGCCAGCCGAGTAAGTATCCATCCAGGAACTAGCTTTGAGAAGAGTCTGAGGCCAAGCTGGATCTGGTCACCCTTAGCTTCCCCCGCCCCTGGGCCCCTGGGACCCTGAGGACGGAGCCTGCAGTAGGGGTGCAAGACCATGCCCTTGGCAATGCCTCAGTTTTCACTAATGGCCACATCAGTCCCTGCACTATACCTGTTCTAACCAGGGCCAACAAACAACCAAACATGTGGCCATCTAAAAGCCAACAGTTCACAGGGTGAACCTTCACAATCTGGGCCAGCCTGTAAGGAGAGTTGCGTGATTCTAACAAGAAATGTAGAAGCTGAGAACAAGAGCTGGGGATGAGTGGTCTGCCTCCCTCTGGATGTGGCTCTACCTCCAGCCCTCATGGGTGTCAATCCTTAGAGTAACCTTTTGGCAAGGGGCAGTCCAGAAATGCAAGGCTTCTCTCCAGGGTCAGCTAGCTGGTTGAGGGCAGAGCCTGCTTGGGCAGGAACTCTGGTTACTGACTGTCAGGCTAGTGGATTTCCCACTGTGCCCTATGTTGCTTGTACCAGTTCCAAAGCAGGACACAGGACGCCTGGCTGCTACCCACCATAGGGACAGTGCTGCCAGGATGGCTCTGGGGGCCTTGGCTTCTTGCTTAGGAAATTGCTCAGGGTTGGTCCACGGCGGCCCAGGGGGTCATCAGGAGGCATGAACCTGAAAAATAACCGTAGAGGGGCCACTTCAAGAGCGAAGAGGACTTGCCACTGGTACCTATATGGAAGCTCAGAAGAGAACGCCAGATGACACGGGCCGTGTACCCAAGAAGGTACATGTACCACAGCACAAAGCACAACCCTCCCTTGGCACCAGCCTCTCCCAATGTGGTGCTGGCCAGTAGGTTCAAAATCACCTCACAGCCTGTTACACAAACACAGCCTGAAGATTCATTCTGTCCCTGTCAGGGCAGAATTGGACTTTATTTTTCTTCCAGGAATTTATATATTAACAACTTCTATGCAGGAAAAGAAAAAAATATAATTACTGGGCTCTCCACCCCTTTCCCATCACCCTCACAAGAGCCTGAGAAAGCCCACAGCATTAACACCTTGCGGGAGGCTTGGGAATTGTGCAAACGCCTTAGAGGCTTAGGTCTAGTGATGGTTCAAGTGAACTGTCAACTTGACCGGCACGCTTGTGAGGGGGTATCCCTGAGTTGGGAGCCTAGACTGTGTAAAAAGGGGACAAGGTGCACTGGGCCTACGCATTCATTACTCATTCGTCTCTCTCTGCTTCTTGACTGCAGGAGCAATGTGGCCAGCTGGCTTGCTCGCCATGATGGGCTGTAACCCCAAACCATGAATCAAAATCCACCCTTAAGTTGTTTTTATCAGGGTATTTTATCGAAGCAAGAGACTGAGAAACCAAGACAGGTCCCTTCCACCATGCCTCTCTGCTCCAGCATGTGCAAGTGAAGGGTCACTATTGAAAGTCTAAAACCCCAGCAGGTGAGTCTGATGGAGAAGGACACTCCTGCATACAGCACCTCCGCCAGACTCAGCCCTACCCTTTGCAAACTCTGGGTGTGGATGAAACTCGGGGCTTGGCCTTAGCTTCTGGGGTTGCCCTCTCTCTGCACACATGATCCTCTGATGCCAGTCTGCCTACTCCCCACCCCCACCCCAGGCTCAGCGTCCCAACAGAAGGGAGTGAGTGTTCAATGTTCAGGGCATTGGTCACCTAGACCTGTAATCCCACAATTAGGGAAGCTGAGGCCAGGCGGTTACAAGTTCAACCCAGCCTGACTAACTTAGTGAGACCATAACTCAAAATAAAATTTACAAATAAGGGTTGCCTCTGCTAGAGGGTGTGCCAAAGATAGGCACAAAATCTTGGTTCATTCTCACATAAACAACATGCTTCTGAAAAACAATAAAAACAAGAAAATAAAATTTAAAAAAAAAAAAACCCTCCCATTTACTAAGATCCTGCGTTTCCAATAAATCCTTTAGGTCCCAGGAGCCCCTTCCAGTCCACCCAAAAGTCTCAGAGGAAGGCTAAATGGGGAGAAGAGCTGTCTTTGCCCATCACTGTTACCCACAAGTTGAGTGAGTCCCACCCAGCAGAGAGCTGAGTGATCCCTGACCCAGTGTGGACTCCAGGGCTCAGCTCCAGCCACACAGCTGGCTTCTCCCAGAGTTGGGACCTGACCAAGAATCTGAGGAGCCGCCCACTGCCGTCATTAAAACTTCTCAAGGGCATTCCCTCCCTCTCTCCCGGGAGTAAGAGGGCCCTGTGGACGTGGCCTGAGCACTGAGGCAGGCGTCTTCACTCACAGGCAGTCAGGTCCTGCCTTCTGACCCTCCACCCCCACAGCAGAGGGACGGACGTTACAAGGACTTGGCCAGGGCCTCTGCTTGTCACCAGGCCAGAGGCAGCCATGACCTGTCAGCCCTCAGCAAGGATTTTTGGAACCTGGTTTACCGACTTGCCAGATTCATCCAGACCCAAGCTGGACAGAGAAAGCCCATGAATCTGGAAACGACCGCAGGGTTACTGGAGGGACAGTTGCTGAAGCATCTGTCTTGGGTTCAGAAGGAACAGGTGGCATTGGGGAGGTACGTCCCCAGGAATAACTGTGACCCCTTATAGGAGACGACAGTGTTCTCTCATCTTCACACCACGCCAGTAGGCAGGACTTCTGAGGAAAGCTCGTTTAAGGACCAGAGCCTCAGTGCGTTCTGTTGCTCTACACCAACTCCCTGACTTTAGGGTCAGGCATCCCTGTAGTGCCCTTCTCTCCTCTCCACTTTGCTTGGATCATAGTCCTGTGTTCACTCTTTTGCACACTCATCCTCTCCTGTATCACTCGTGAGTGTGTGTCGACTCTGTGCCAAGCATGCTGGGAACATGGCGGCACAATGGGCAATCTGTGTCATCACAGAGTCAAAGACCTCATCTCAAACCATGGGCCAGAAGGCCAGTGAGAGTTCTCAGAGCGGGAGTTGATGGATTGTCATCTGGGACAGAAACCAAAGGGCTGGGGCTGTAGCCCCGTTGGTAGAATATTTGTCTGGGATACACAAAGCCCTGGGTTGGTTTGATCCTCGGCATGCTATAAACTGGCATGGCGGCCCACTTCTGTAATTGTTAACACTTACAAGATGGAGGCAGGAGGACCAGAAGCTCAAGGTGATCCTTTACTACATGAGTTTGAGGCCAGTCTGGGATATATCTCAATCGGTATTTTTTTTAAAGATGTATTTGTATTATTTTTAATTATGTGTAGGAATGTATGTCTTCATGTGGGTCTGAATGTCAATGCAGGTGCCGGAGGTATTGGGTTCCGTGGAGCTGGAGTAGAGATGGTTGTGAGCTGGCCCACATGGGTGCTGTGAACCAAACTCTGGCCCACTGGAAGAGCAGCAGGAAGTGCCCTTCACCGGTGAGCCGTCTTCCCAGCTGCACTCAGCACTTTTTAAAAAAGGACAAAAACTTGAAAGGAAATTCAACAAAGTTGAAATCCCCCCCTCCATGATAATGTTTTCCTAATTTTAATTTTTAGATTTATTTTTATTTTATGTATACGAGTGTTGTGTGTGTGTGTGTGTGTGTGTGTGTGTGTGTATACACATGCACGTGCACCACATGTATGTCTAGTACCTATGGAACCAGAAGAGGGCATTGGATCCCCTAGAACTGCGGTTCTGAGTGGCTGCGAGCCACCACACCAGTGCTGGGACCCAAGCTTGGGTCCTCTGCGACAGCATCCAGTGCCCTTAACCCCCGAGCCATCTCTCCAGCCACACTCTGCATGATGACTATCTTACGGCTTTTACTTGAACAGGAAATGAGGTTTCTGGTGTGCGCTAAACACACTGCTGGCCCACCTGTTGGGCAACCTTGCAGGGAGACGGTTTAATTGCCCGTGAGAACCAACCATGGGCAGGATGGCCTTCAGGGAAGCCAGCCACAAAAGAGAGGACATGTGAGGGCCAGGGCCAGCGGGCTTCCATCCCTTACCTGTCATTTACAAAGGAGAACATGAGGAGTCGCTGCTCGATGAACCATTTCCACTCCGGGTTTTCATTCTGCAGGTCCCGGTAGTTGTCGTTGGAGACAATGATGCCATCCTTCTCAAAGGCCACCTTCACGATGTAGCGGTCATCGTAGCAGACCACCCGCTTGCCGTTGACCTTGCGGGATGGGGTATACACCAACACAGCTTGCCGTTCCAGCTCCTCCAGCACGTGCTGTTCTGAGGCCACGGGTAGAGACTTGAGTCAGGGCTACCAAGAAGGGCCGGCCTCCCGACCCCCTCCCAAACCATCCCCGCTGCAGCCAGTCAGACCCGAGCAGAACAAAGGGGACTATTACTGTTTAGACGGTTTCTCCCTATAAAGTCTAGACCGGCCTCAACTTAACAACCCCCCCCCCCCCCGTCTCCTACGTGTTGGGATTGTCGCTTGTGCCACCAAGGCTGACTTACTCCTTCATGCCCTCATCCCCGGCATCGGGAGGTAAAAGAGGAAGGAACAGGAGTATGAGGTTGCATGAGCCCTTGCCTCAAACAACACAAAAAAACCACACAAGTACATAGTAGACCTGCAATAAAAAGAGCCCTGAACTTCGAGAAGGAGGCGCGCCATGCCTTGGAAAGTCCCTGCTGCCCATCCCAGTCCAAAAGTGTCACTTCCCCTTAAGATAGCCTGTTATAAAAACAGTGTTGACGGTCCCCCCTTGCTTTTATTTTCACGGGCACACATGTGAGGGCCATTTTCGATATGGCTCTGCCTCAGACTTCACCCAGTGAACAGTCCCCACCCACGCTCCTACACCGACTTCTTTGTCCAGTTACCATAAGGTGACACGCTCCAGCCGTGCCCACATGTTCGCCAAGGGAGCCTCTGGCATGTACATCCAGGGAACCCCCGGGGCAGATCTCCAAAATATTTTTACGGCCTGCCAGACATAACACGGTCCCGTCCCTTACATGGGTTTATTTTGCATTTATTTCTGGCTAGTTATGAGATTGAGCATCTTTGCCTATGTTTACTGCCCGCTTAGAGTTTTCTTCTATAAATGGCTTATTTATGAACTAGCTCATCTTTCCGTGGGTTCTTGTCCTTGCTTCGATAAGTTGGAGATGAACCCCTTCATCGTTAAAGTGTAAGGTATAGGGGGCTGGGGAATGTGACCGGGTTGGTGAGTACCTTTATATCATTTATGCAAGAAGCCTGGAGTTCAACCCCATCACTGAATGAAATGGGCCTGTGATTCCCACACTTAGCACTGGAAGCAGAGGCGGCAGGACAGATGTCCAAGAAGGCAGAGCATACAATAGTCTAGACCCATCTCTCTTGTGCTCTCGGGTCTGGCTTTTGGGTTTGTTGTTGTGTTTGTTTGTTTGTTTGGGGTCACAGCTGCGATTGTTATTACCATCGCCGCCTCCGTCCCTGCAGTGACAGTTTCAAGGATAGCCCTCTCCCAAACTGTAAATACTGCAAGCACGGTAGATAAACTATAAACTATCAGGTGAAGTGGCTGAAGCCTTAGCCACCCCAGACACACTCAATAATCTAGTACAAATTGGCATTTTAAAACTAAATCTACAAACTAGCCTCCTACAGAAACAATTGGATTTGTTGTGAGAGGCCCATATGGCTTCTTGTTCTCTCTCTTTCACACATGTCTGTGTTACATCCGCTAAAGTTGAGAATGCATCAGTTGTAGTTACTTTTCTCCAGGGGTCCTGGAGTAACCAGTTTTTAAATTATACACTTGCTTTAGCCATGCAGATCATTAACATCAATGAAACCCGAGTACCACCTACCAGTGCAGAAGACCTTTTACAAGGACTTCAACTTGCTGGCAGATTAGTTAGAGAATGGGCAAGCTCTCTCTCACTGGGGCTCATAGCCCTTGCCCTTGGGGCTATCTGCCTGATCTGCCTACACCGCCACAGCATTAGACAAGCCCAAGCCAACTTTCAAACAAGACAGAGTCTACTGTCTTTAGCTCAAGAGAGTGCCTCTGCCCAGGTATGGCTGAACTTACAGATGAACTAATCACCAGAGACGGGTAAGGCCGAAGGGGGCAAATTTTCAACCTAAGAAAGGAAGGTTATGGGCCTGGGTGACCTCTCCCATCATGGGTAAGGAATTATGCTGGCGTCCTCTGATGCCTCAGACAAGTGTCAGTTTATATTAAAAGAAAGGGGGACCCGTAGGGCCCTGCATGGACCCCCGGGGCACCTTGAGCAAGCCTGAGCTGTTGGCTGGGATATTCTGCAGTCTTGGCTGGAACATCTTTCCCAGAGTTGTTATCGGTACTCTTCCTGATTTGCTAACACACATCTGCTGGGGAGGAACTAAGCCTGAGAACTTACATTCTTGACCCTGGATTGTTTTCCACTGTGCTGTGAGTCAGTATATAAGTCCGCTCCTTCCCCTCAACAAACGGCATTCCTGTTGCAAATGACCCACTGTCTTGTCTCTTATTTAAATCTCTAGGCTCTACAGTAGGGAGGACCTGAGAGGATCTGGGAGAATTGAGAGGATCTGGAAGGATCTGGGGGGATCTAGGGGAGGGGAAAATGTGATCAAAATGTATTTCATGGAAAATATTTTTTTTCAAATAAAAAAAGAAAATGGGCTGGGAACTAAAACTTGGCTCAGTGGTTAAGCACACCAGATGTACTTGCCAAGGACCACAGTTCATTCCAGCACCCAGTTTGGGTGACTCAAACCATTAGTAACTGCAGCTCCAGTAATTCAACACCCTCTTCAAGCTTCTGAGGGTACGCGTGCGCGCGCACACACACACACACACACAGCACTGAAAGAAAACAAAAACACTAAAAATAACATATGGGTCTCTACTCCCATTCATTTCTTTAAATGAAGAAATTGAAGGGGTATTTTTCAAATACCTGACAGAATGTCTCCCTGCCTGCCCATTTACTATTAGGTGTAAAGTGCTGATTCAATCTTCAGAGGGTTAAATGTTGTAAGACACAATTGCTTCATACTCTAAATCGTTCACAACAAATGGGAAAGCCATGTGCTTATCTGTAAGTGAGCAAGTAAGAGTTATAGAGTACGTGTCTATTTTATAAGTTTCCATGGCATTTCCACTCCAAGGAAGGCCGGGAGCTAGCATGTTAAGTGTTCATAGTCCGGCTGAACTATGAACTCACGGAACTCAAACCAGTACTGATCAGGAAGATGACCACCATGGTGGGTGACACTTCCACAGGACAGTTTGTGGTATACCTCTGATGGGGTGTCACCACCCCAGAACAGTGCACAGCATACCTCTGATAGGGGTATCCGATCTTGAGGGTTCTTTCCTCCAAGATGGAACAAAAACCTTGATGTAGGTGTGGCCTCTGTCTCTGAACCAATCCACAGCCAGACGAATTCCCCGGCAAGAGAAGGCTTCCTTATTCCCATGGCTACAATGGAAGGCAAAGACAGAGGACAAACAAAGAGGGACTTTCTCTGGGCCACAGCCTAAAGCTGAGAGGGAACTGAGCAAGGGGACTCTTAAACACAGTACACTCTTCCCGCAGATGACAGCTGCAGGCAGCTTTCGAGGAGGGGGCTGTGGCACTCAGGCTCCCCTGGGTGGGAGGGAGGGGGCATATTACAAGGGATAATTGAACTGTCCACTCTTTTGCTGAAGAGAGTAAGAGCCAACATCTAAGAAAAAAAATAAAATAAAATATCGTAAAATAGACAAGGTCAGCCACCTGCAGAATTGCATGTCCTCTGAGAAATGCTTGCACCAGCTCTGCAGTGGGAGTGTTCTATGTGACAGAGGACTTCGGGCCTTGAGACATGTGTATACACTTATGTGCACATGCCAACAATTAATGAAAAAGAGGCCATGGTTTTAAAAAAGAGGTTTTTATTCTTTCACCGAGGCCACTTCTTAGGTCAAATATCAACTGAGAAGGGCTCTGTTTTTCTTTTTTAGATTATCTTCCATGTAAATTTTTCTCTTAATATGTAATACTGAAAAAAAAATCTATTTCAGTAAATCCTTCCTAGCCATAAAAAGGCCAGCAGGGTTGGCAACATGAGTTCCTCAATTTGGAAGCAAACAACCATTTTTATGTTGATGGGTTTACTCAATCTTTTTCCAGTAGTAATTGCGACATCGATGCATCTTATAAGACCTCTTAAGAATCAGCATCCTAACTGGGCAGTAGTGGTGCACACCTTTAGTCCCAGTACTCGGGAGGCAGAGGCAGGTAGAACTCTGTGAGTTCCAGCCCAGCCTGGTCTACAGAGTGAGTTCCAGGACAGGCTCCAAAGTTACAGAGAACCCCTGTCTTGAAAAACAAAACAAACCAACAAAAAAGTAATCATCATCCTATCCAGGCCTTGTGGTATACATCTTTAATCCCAGTACTTAGAGGCAAAGGAAAGTGGATCTCTGTGAGTTCTGGGCCAGCCTGGACTACATTATGACTTCCAGACCCTCCAGGGAAACATAATGAGACCCTGTCTCAAGGGGAAAAAATCATCTTCCTTAAGCAGGGAATGATGGCACATTCCTTTAATTCTTGTATCTTGGAGGTAGAAACAAGAAGATCAAAAGTCTAAGGTCATTTTTGGCTGTACACTGAGGCTAGCCTGGGCTACACAAGACCTCGATATGGAAGAAAGGGTGTGGGAAGCCATCTTCCTTTGTGTTAGAGGGATGAGAGTTGTGGATGGGTTTTAGCTTCGAAGTAGATACAAGAATATGTTGGACACCCGTGTGTGATCCAAAAAATTTAGCTGGCCCATAGAGGACAGTGAGTTGGGCATGAGGCATAAGGTATGATGCTGTAGGGGTCATCAAACAGGGGTCAGTGGTTAGGCCTGAGCTGCTGCTACTGTTAAGTAAATGAGAACAGAAAGTAGACTTGGGAACATTTAGAAGGTGCCAGAACCCAGTCTCTGGATGTGGAAGTGACAGAGAAGAAGGTATTAGAACTTCCAAGTTCCTTGTGTGAATGCATGGAGGAAACTCTGGAGGGGCTGACTGGGGGAGAAAAAACATTCATAAGGTTGGCATTGGATGTAGAGTGACTTGGAGAAAGCTTTGTGACTTAATCGGACAGCAGAGAAATCTGAGTGGTAAAGTTCGTAGGTCACCCTTGCCTAAGCAAGAGTTGAAACTGAAGCATGGACAGAACTACTCAACTGACAGAAAAAAGGAAGTTTGAGGTCTTGAGGCTGGCCTGGAATGAGTCTGGGATGCAGCCTCTGGTTTTAGGCAGGGCTGGGGGGGAGGGGTCTCTTACAAAAGAGACGGGAAAGAGCTCTCCAAGGGACAGGGAAGAAAGCAGTCAGATGCCCTGCTTTCTGGAAGCCAGGGAAAGGGGCCTGGGGACTGGCAAACCCAAAGGCTTCATTTGGACTCGCCCAGTCTGGGTCACTAGTGCTGGAGACAGAGACAAGTGGCTGGATCTGGGACGCTGTGCAGACAAAGTCAACAGGCTGAGCCATGGATGAGATGGAGCCTGACCTCCAGACTAGACCATTTTCTGTTCCTTGATTCTCGGCCTCTGGTTTTCCCCCCAGCTGTTTATTCAACCACACAGCTTCCTGGATACCATCAGTGAGGGTGTAGCAGCTGTTTCTGTCCACTCCTTGCATTTACTCCTCTCCCTTCTCTTTGCGGTCTCGGCTGAATCCTTGCTTCCTCGGGAGGAGCACCCCTCGACTTAGTAGACTCCATCACACAGACACTTGCTAGCTTTAAGAACATTCACCCAGCCAGACAGGGTCGTACACACTTGTAATCTCAGCACTCAGAGAGCTGAGGCAGAATTGCCTGGAGTTGGGGGGCTAGCCTGGCTGCTTACAAATAAGCCCTTGTCAAAACAGAAAACAAAGTACACACACACACACACACACACACACAGGAGGGGACCTCATGACCACCAATATCCTAGTGACTGTGGTCCCTGGTAAGCTTGAAGCTGGCCTTGTCCAATAGTGAGTTTCAGGCCAGCCTAGACTACAAAGATCTTTTCTCTAAAGATTCAAAGTGCCGGGCCTAAGGTCATCACTGTGTTGGCACAGTGTTTGCCCAGCTTGCCCAAGCCCTGGCATCAGGTAAGTTAGATATGGTGGTATGTGGCTGTAATTTCAACACTCAGGAACTGGAGGCAGGACAATCAGGAGGTCAAAGTCATCTATGGCTACATTGTGAGTCTGGGGATAGCCTGGTCTATGTAAGACCTGGTCTTAAAACAGAAAGAAGGGCTTCAGAGTCTCTTTTGGGGGAATGGGGACTGTCAGAGAGTCTTCGAGCCCATTTTAATAACGGTAGAGTATTACTCGCTGAGTCGTGCGGGTCATTTCATCCTCTTATTACCCCCTTGAGGAGGTGGCTCCCACCCCATCCTACCCTTGTGGAACCCAAAGCAAGGAAACATGCCCGTTCTCTAGTCTGGTGGTAAGTGTACAGGTCTAACTGTCACTACAAGCCCTTCCTTCCCTTCCCCCAAACCCCCAAGCCCTGAGAGTGAGTCCTCCCGCTTGGAGGTCTGGCCATGGGGAGGACTGACAGACACTAGGAACCAGCCACCATGAGGACTGCCATTCACACAAACCAGACAATAGAATTGTACACACTGCGTTCTAACTAGTGTCCAAGGAGTCCTTGTAGAAGTCGGGGGGGGGGTCACAGGATGACCCCTGGGGTACAAGTTCATGGTCATGGGGTGGAATGACCCCCATAGGGTTCCGCTACAAGGACAGATGGCCCTCCTTAGACATTCTGTGTGGACACAGGGCAGGTGGCTTGGTGCATTATCTGTAACTTCTCATTGTATGTCAGTGGTCCCTTAGGCTTTGGGGATCACAGATCCTTTCGTTATTTATTAAAATATACACACCTTCTCTGCAGAGAAGCGGCCATGTGTGCAAATATGCTATACTGCCTGCCATTTCAAGCTGTCAGTGGCTTTGAAAGTAAAGATCCTGTCATACAGGAAACGTTAGAAAATGGGCTCTGCCTTAGGGCTTCCAAAAAGTAACTCAGGTCTGTGGACACCTGGATTTTAAACCCAAAAGCTCCGTTCAGACTTCTGTCCCCTCCCCCCAGAAACAAAAGCACACGAAGACATGTTGTCTTAAGCCATCAGGTGGCAACAGGTGTTGGCCTGTGGGAAGGTAACTTCCCAATGATTGGGAGGTGGGGCGAGGGGGGTTCTAGAAGGCCCGAGCATGACAAACATTGCAGACAGTTTTGCCTTTTTACCCTTGCTAAAAACTCACAGTCTTAAAGCTGGCTGCCAAGGCGCTGTTTAGCCACTGACTCATTCCTGAGACAAAACATCAAGGTCCAACCATCAAAATTCATCATTTGGCTAATAGGTCCAGTTAGATTTACCACCTCACCCCTGCACAGACTCTGCCCCTTTCCCCTTAAAAACTCACTCCTGCAGGAGCGCCTGCCCTTACTCTGTTACTCTCTTGCTCTCTCGCTCGCTAACATGCTAGCATGCTAGCATGTTAGCATGCTTGCTTGCTGTTGCTGCAGGCTTTGCAGCCTCCCCCAACCCCACTTGTCCCTCCAGAGTAATAAATCTCCTTTGTTATCTGGGTATGTCCTGTACTGATTCTGGGGGGGGGGCTGACCTCCCTTTCTCTGGGAGAAAGCATTGCTGTCAAAAGCCAAGCTGTTGAACCCTGTAAGCAAAGGCATGGGCCACCGCAAGCTCCAGGGGTAAAGGCAGCTGTGGAAGATACTCCTGCCAATAGGAGCTACACTTCTCATATGTTAGGGGTAAAGCACATGCCTCACTGAAGCTTGAAGTCTCCCCTGCTCTGCAGGACCAGGCGGCAACCTCCAATAGGCGGCAATCTGGGATCTTATAAGCCTCAGAGAAGAGGGGGTCTCCTAAAAGCATCCTTCTGGCATTATTAAAATCCTGTGCTCAGTAGTAGAGACACCATTTTGAATTTCTGCCCTCCATTTCTTACAAAAGGGGACTCTCTGTGGGTCTGCCTGGCCCTGGGAACACAATGAGACCCTGTCAACAATGAGACTCCCACTGGAGGGGACAGTAGAGGAACAGGAATGGACACACACCCACTCCGTGCTCTTAGAAATGAATTAACATCCACAGTCAAAGGACCATTATATAATTTGTGCTTTTCCCTGGGCATCCAGCGGGCAAAGAGGTGTGTGTGTGTGTGTGTGTGTGTGTGTGTGTGTGTGTGTGAGACAGAAAGTATATGAAAACGCTTAGACCTTGACACATTGTTTGCTGTAAGTCTGTGTAATGGTTTCCATTTGCAACCCACACAGATTGAGCCAGGAAAGACAAAATTGATCACAGCTTGAAGTCTGGGGGTGGCAGTGGCCAATGGATTGACCTACAATAGTCATCTACAAATAGAGGATGCGGTTTCAGTTTGAATTCCAGGCTGCACAGAGCCCCATCCACACACACCGTCACCGTGAGCACCCAAGCATCTCTGACCCCCAAAGAAAAGACACCATCCTGAAGCGGCCTTTTTGCCCTGGGACCATTCGCTGCTTTCGCATATGATCCTGGGCTTTGATTTGTGCAGTGACAACTTACGTTCAAACCCTGGCCCAATTGCTGCCCAGGGAGCTTTGTCCGGATCCAGGATCCCACAGGGGCCAGGCACCTCTTCCCTCCACACTTTCTGGAGTTGTTGGAGCACATTGAACTCACTATTTTGAATTTATTTACATTTATTGATTGGTGGGGTCACGCGGGAGAAGATCAGAGGACAATTAACATGAGTTCCCATCTCTCTTTCCTCTGCGGGCGTGAGTCCCAGGGAGGGAACATGAGTCATCAGATTTGCCAGCAAGTGCCTTTACCGGCTGAGCCATCTCACTGGCTGTTGTATTGTTGCAAGCCCCTGTCCGATCTAGTTTGCTGTCAACTTGACATAAGTTAGAGTAGCGCCAGCCCTGGACAAGGTGGTCCTGGGGTGTAAACAATCAGGCCAGTAAACAGCATAATTTTTGACCTCTGTTTCAGTTCCTGTCTCCAGGTCCCTGGCCTGACTTTCTACCTTGGCTTCCCTTGGTGATAACCTGGAACCTGGAAGCCAACGAAACCGTTTCCTCCCCAAGTTAATCTTGGTTATGGTGTTTTCATCTCAACAACAGGACACCCAAGAGAGCAAGAGGTTTCCCATCTGCTGCCAAAAGAGGGCGTATGTGAGACAGTGAGAGAGACCGCCTAACAGCTTAAGTCCCAGGGAGAAGCCGGGCTCCACCATCCCTTGACCCAGTCTCCATAGGCAAAGCTAGCAGGTGAAAAACGGAGCAGATGGGAACAGCGCCGAGGCTGGGCCACACTGGGCTGGACCATTCCAAACTTCTGTCCTAGAATGCCAAATTCAAAGTGAGCTCAACCCCCTCTCCCTCCCTCCCCCCGCGGGAGCTTCGGATGCCTGGTGACACATTTGGAACCTGGTAACACATTTGGAGCGGCTGATAACTGCTTTTCGGAATTCCTACTCAGCTTTAAAAAGGGGAAGTATTTATAGCTGTGAATGAACAATTTCCTATGCCTCTGCCCTCTGCCCAGCTGTAACTCGGCCAAGTTTGCGCAATGCCCTCCTCACCCAGCGCTCTCAGCGTGGCAGCCTGGGAGACTGGGCCACAGCAGAGCTTTGCCAAGTCAGGCACAGTAACCACACGCACCATCACGCTGGAATCCCCAAGCACACAGAGGAGCCAAGTTACGAAGGCTGATCTAGCTCTATCTGCAGCTAAGAGTCAGAGAGGAGAGACCACAGACCGTCCTTTCAACCTTAATGGGAAGTGCAGCCTGGCCTCCCCACCAGACCCCGGCAGAGGGCTTTGAACACAACCCAAGCACTTCTCAAATTCTGGTTCTCAAGCCCTAAGGTAGAAAGTGGAGACCTACTCTGGCCTGCTCTGCAGAGAGAGGAACTGAGTACTCTTGACTTCCCAGAATAACACAGCTGGCTGCGGACAGACTCCAAGAGAGCCAGTGCCTAGCCCTGGGCTCCAGCCCATCTCTTACTTCCTTCCCTCTGAAGGCTGTGCCTCCTGTGAACATAGTCACTGACCAACTTGCTGAGTATACCACAGCAGGCACCTTTGTAGCTCAGATTCTCACAACTCCCCTCAAGGCAGGGTTGAGCCCGTGTCTGAGAACACGGGCAGCTTGCTTCATTCCCACGACAGAGGACAGGGGTGCAAAGCCTGATCGAAAATAAGTCAATAACAACAACAGAAAAGAAAGAACCCAAGAAAGTAAAATTAGGACAACTATTTGCTCTATCTCCACCCAAGCCTGGCACCAAGATGCTTTCACACCCATGTTTACAATATGCAGGTTATAGAATCAGTCTAGGTACCCGCCGCCAGAGAAGTGGATACTAAAAAGAAATGGGTATGTATACATAATGGAGCATACGTTGTAAGAATGATGATGGTGTCCATTTGCAGGAGAGCCGGTGGAATTTGAGATTCACTTTCTTGAGCATTATAAGCCAGACTGAGAAAGTCAAAGATGGCATGTATGTGGACTAGAGATTTGTGTTTGTGTATGCATTCATAAGGCAGGGGAACAGAAGAGGAGCTGTCTGTTGGGGAGGAAGGAGACCAGCAGAAGAGGAGGAGAGACAAAGGGGGTAATGGAAAGGGACTACGGGCACAGCATGTGATATACATGTATGACTATGTCATCAGAAAATCTATTATTTTGTGCAATAGTTTAAAAAAAAAAAAAAAAAAAAAAAAAAAAAAACTCCGACCAAATCACGGAGAGGAAAATGGCTCCCTGGACTTGTGAGATCTGACCCCAGCGCCCAGCAATAAAGGAAAGCAAGGACATTACCTCATGGCCACATTGCTGCCATCGATCACTATGGGTCGCAGGGAGCTGGCTGGGTCTCCACCAGCCTCTTCCAGGCCTGGTCCCAGGCCCTGCTGGGCCGAGTCCCGGATCCCGCAGCATCCCCGGGGCATCAACACCACTCCAGTGCTGTTGGCCGGATCCTCCTGGGCCCTTGGGCGGCTACCGGTCTGGATCAGCTCCCGCAGCACATCGTTGACCAATGCACTGTCACCCAGTTTGCCCAGCACCCTGACCACGTCGTCCTGGCTGTAGCCCAGTTTCTGGAAAAACTCCAGCTTGTTCCGCCGCTCCATGTCATGCCAACCTTGGCCTGCCACGGCTCCCGCCCTGCTGGCTGAGCTGCACCGGCGTGAGCTAAAAAAGAAAAGGCAGTCAGTAGTCAGGTGTTTGCTGAGCAGCAGGGCCACGGGGTGAGGAGGGCATACTGTGTGTGCTCCTCCCTCCTGGCGCTATCTGTCAGGAAATCACGCCTTGCCTGGTCCCCTTGGGGATTTTCAGTTGCCACAGATGCAATCACGCCTCTTTTACTAGCGTGTGCTCTGAGCCCTTTGGTCCCGAGTGCCCTTGCAGGGAACACTAGCCAGGGCCCAGGGTATCAGGGGCTGAGTGGGGCACCAAGCCAAGGAAACCTTTTTAGAGGTTCTCTGTTAGGAGCGAGATGGCATCCACCCAGGTTTCTGTACGGGCGTCTTTAGCACCAGTCCTCAGGGTGTCCCCGTATTTAGAGACGGAGCCTTTTAAATCAGATCCTTGGGCATATCTTCACCCTGCAATAGCTGTTCTACAAGAAGAGCCACTTTAGACCACACACACACACACACACACACACACACACACACACACCCTTAGGAGACTAAAGGGGCTGCTTAGGGAGCGAGGCCTAGGAAGGAACCAACATCACCGGCTCTTTGATCCTGAGCTTGCAGCCTCCAGAACTGGGTGACTTTCAATTGTGCCAGCCTTCATTTGCCAAGTAACAGTCCCGGCAGGCCTGGCTCACCCAGGAGAGGGCAGTCGCCGACGTGGGCCCCTCCCAGAGAGGCAAGGTTACCCCGGATTTCAGTTCTGCACTCCGGCTCCCTTTCCACTCAGGTCACACTGAGCCTTGAAAAGAAAAAGTCCCGACTGGAATTTGGCTCCTGCTGTGGGGGCACCAAGCATGTCCTCCCTGTGTGACAGGTGACAAGAAAGGGACCATGCCTGACATAGTGCTCAAAAGGAGAGACGGGGATATTCATGGCGCACTGGGTCTCTGTGCTACACACACACACACACACACACACACACACACGCACGCACGCACGCACGCACGCACACACACACACAAAACAAAACTTGACAGCCTTCAAAATTGTCTTGAAATGTAGAAATACACTTGAAGACGTAGTTACTGTGGAAAAGTCAAACAAAGAAGGAAGGTATAATACACAGCCCACTCCCCCCTCACCCCCACCCCCTCCCCTACCACCCCAACCCCCCCAACCCCCCCCCACAATGCTTCTTGTGTTGACCATGTGTCTGCGTCTCTCCAGCGATTTCTCTGAGCACCTACTTTGGAGGATTGTTTCGGGCTTATTTTTGCATACACAATGCCATGCTGTTCCTATTGCTAGTTAGCAGCTTGCTTTTCTCCTTGAAAACACATCTTGAGCATCTCTTCCAGCCAGTTTCTGCCCACTGTATGCCCGGCATCAAATGTGATGATGGATGGATGGATGGATGGATGAATGGATGGATGGATGGATGGATGGATGGATTCCCACTCTTACAGATCCTGCTGGCTGGAGATTCTTGTGGAGCCCCAGTCTCCTTCCCAATGCTGTGGATTCTTTTCTTTCCTTCCCATTGTCCCGGATGACTCCCTTACAGCATGTCTGTTTCTGGGCCGCACCCCCTGCCCCCGACTGCACACACTTCTGCAGACCTCTCCACGAAGGGCAAGAAACGGGACAGAGATTACAGGGCCGGAGCCTGCCAGGTGCAGCACATCTCAAATACAACCTTGTAGACGGTGAGGCCTCTTCTGCTGCCCAGACATGTTCTCCTCCCACTCCACCTCTGCCCAAGCTCATCTGGCTTGGACCCAGCATTGTACGCTTAACACAATCTGACCGTGCTTAAATGAATGCTCTACCACAGCCCCTGGGGCTATAGAAGAGCTGTGTCACCCTGTGTCTACGGCCTCAGCCACCCCACCAGCGGCTCACCTAGTCCTTAGAGTAAAACGAACCCCCCCCCATCTAAATACTCCAGGATGCTCTCACACACAGGCTTTGGGGTTTGCCAAACTTTACATTTCAGTTCACACACCACTCAGAGGGATCCTGCTGGGTTCTACAGTCCTAAAGAGGGCTCGGTCATGCCACCCACAACAGCACACTGCTCGTGAATTATCATTTGCTTTCCTCAAGAAACCCAATTGTTCGGACCTGTCTTCCTCAGGGTCGCCATCACTTAGTGTGGTGCCTGGTAGAAGTGAGGTGTTCCGATAGTTTATTTATTTATTTTGGTTTTTCAAGACAAGATTTCTCTGTGTAAAGCTCTGGCTGTCCTGGAACTTAATCTGTAGACCAGACTGGCCTCAAACTCATGGATATCTGCTTGCCTCTGCTGGGATTAAAGGTATGGGCCACCATGGCCCGGATCAATCAATCTTTCTTAATGGACGGTCTACACTGGAGTTTTCCTTTTTCCTCACATTTTCCCTTGAGTTTTAAATCTCAAAGAAGGGCGCCCTCCAGAGGCCCCAACAGAGACACCCCATTGTCCGTCTACATGTCCACATCCTGAGAGTCGTCTGTTCTGTTTCCTGGACGTTTTGCACACCCACCCTGCCCTCCACACTCACCAGGATATGGTCCCATCCTACATGGAACAGACTTACTGACTGCCTTCTTCACACCGGCTCCCCAGAAACAAAACAAAACACAGTCTAGCCTCAACATACTCTACTCTGGAAAACAGACCAAAAGATGTAAGTAACAAGTCATGAATCCAAAATAAGCACAATTGGTTGTTTGGGGTTTTGTTTTGTTTTTTTGTTTTTACATTGTGTGTGCGCCTGTGCATGTGTGTATGTGTGTGTGCGCGCGCACACACTCGGGAGCACATGCCTGTGTATGTTTGTTTTGTGTGCCAGAGTGCTCATGTATCGGTCAGAGAACAAAGTGCAAGACCCTATTCTCTCTATCCACCAACATGGGTCCTAGGGTCGGAACTCAGGTCCCCAGCCTTCAAAGCAAGTTCCCTCAGAATGACTGTTTTGATTAGGGAAAAAAAAATGTGCTTTGGGGGGTTGGAAAGATGGCTCCGTAGTTAAGGGCACTTGCGGTTCTCGTAAAGGACTTGAGTCAGGTTCCCAGCAGCCACATAGGTTGCTCACAACCATCTGTAACTCCAGTTCCAGGCAATCCAGAAGATGCTTCCTTCTGGCCTCTAACTGCACCAGGCATACACTCAGTGTACATATTTACATGTAGGCAAAACATTCATACACATAAAATGAGAGAATTAAAAAAAATATATTTTAAAGAAGGAAAAAGAAAAATGTCTTTCAAGGTACATGTGACTTATCTCCTTTTGGAAGGCATGGAGGGGTAACCCTGGGCTCATCAGGTAAAGGGACCCACCACCAAGTCCAGTGAGTGGAGCTTGAGCCCCTGAGAGAATCACCTTATGAGACTTAAATAAGTAAACGTAAAACTGATCCAAGAAGAGGCCAGAGACGTCCTTAAAGGACTGTGAGGCCTTCTGAGAGGACACCAGGGTGTCAGAATGGAGTTTGCCCCATCCCACCCAAAAACACTAATGCCCAGCCACACCACCCAAGGACTCCATCGCTGAGGAGTTTCACAGACACACACACACACACACACACACACACACACACACACACACACACACACAATTTGTATTTTCATGTATGTTCTAAGCTAGAGTTCTCATCTTTTTCTCCAAACCAAACTCCACACCCCTCCATCCTACATAAAGGTCAAACTTCATCAGCATGAGAGTTGGGGCCTCAGCCAGCCCTGTTCTACCTCCCATCTCTTAAGTACAAGTCTCTGGTCCAACCCCATCTTCTTCTGCATCTAGTGAGCAGTCCATCTGTCTCAGGGCCTCTGTCCAACTTTGAACCAAACTTTGGACACTCACCAGCCTGAGGAGTCACCTCGCACTGTTTGGGGAGGGTTCCCTCCACAGGTTAAACCGACTATTACGTTTTCTGGAAGCTTCCAAATCTTGATGTCCCGTCAACACTCCACCCTTGCTGCTCATGCATACACCCCTGCACTTGTTTCAGAGAGCGTGGAAGAACAGAGAGAGAGAAATATCCATGTTCCCGCTACGGTCTTTCATGGCTTCCATATAATTTTTATAAACTCTTGATTAAACTTCCTGTTTCTCTTGGTGATATGTACCGCGGCTGTATAGTTCTACGGTAAATGGCAGAGAGTAACAGGCAGTATGTTCCAGAAATAACCTGTTATCTGGAGTCATGTGCTTAGCACAGGGGCAGCATCTTGCCATTGCCGAAATGGAAACATTAAAATTGCAACCTAGCACCCCCACTTTGGGGGTCCAGAGTTAATTTTACAACTGCTGCCGATGGATGGGGCCAAAGCAAGAGAAGACTCGGGTCTGATGGGGTGAGCAGGCAGCCAGCCACATGACGGTCTTCCTGTGGCTGCTTCTTTCCCTGGAGTCACTGAGCAATCACCTGTCACCCGCAGAGCCTTTTCCGAGGACACTCTCAGAAGGTGTGTGTGCCACCAGACAGCTCTTCTTACACAAAACTAACAAGAGAATTCACCGACTTCAGAAAATAATTTCCCCCTCGGGACCTTAACGGCAACTTTAGTTCCTCTTAAAACAAATGTCTTGTAAAATGGGGGGGGGGGTAGGGTTAGAAGGGGCAGGGGCCTGCTCTCAGGATCCCCACCCCCACCCGCGTCCCCATGAGATGATCTCCGAGTCCTTAACACCCGGCTGCTTAAGTGTGACCTTGCTATTTTTAAAACCTGAGAGTCTGAACGGCTTCATCTGCCTTTTCTTCCTCTATCTTGACTGGAAGTCACAAATAGCCCAGAGATGATTGGTGACGAAATCTCCCAGATTTCATGAGACCTTGCCATGGTCAGCATCCCAAACTGCTCTCCCTCGGGACTGAGAGCGGAGGCCACCGTCCTGTGGGAAAAGACCCCTTCTAGAAGCAGCAATCCGAGCCTGTAACCTCTCCCTCAAAGAGCATCTGGGGAAATCGAGCCGACATAGAGAAGAAAGGAGAGGGGTACAGATACCAGAGAAACAGTAGCACACACACACACACAC